GAGAGAGAGAGGTGCTGAACACAGACGTCCGCACGCTGACTTTGTTTTCTACCGAACACTTATCTGTGAAACTGCAGGCAAATGGAGAAGAGGAGGCAACCAAAGGCGCATTGAATCACATAACCATCCTATCAGTATGCACTACTATGCAGAGCCTACAGTACACCTCATACAGTATTTCCCTGACGCAGCACTTCAACCACTGCTACTCCTGGCTTAGAAATCGCTGCCGATAGCAAAACCCTAGCAACAAGCCAAGCACTCCACTGCGCTTCTGGCCTATCCCATTCTTCGCTCCCATGTCATAATCGTCACTCCACTCTTCCCACCATTCCCCCCCCAATCTCATAATCATCACTCCACTCCATGAGGATTCCCACCATGAAGCTCTGAGGCACAGAAGTCCCACTAGAGTCTGAACACATCAAGGGGAGGAAGAGGCCGCCGCCTTGCCATGACACAATACAGCGACTTCGTCCATCCTGGCCGGGGCAATGCGCAACCCGCCCGCCACCTGCTCCGTTGTGCGCACAACTCGCACCGGAGTACGAATAGATCAACAGCAGAAGCAACAGATCTATTTCCATGCCCTCAACGGTTTGGAAATGCCATTGCTCTCCTCACATTATAGCCTATCTAAATAATCTTACCACTAAGCATAACTGATACGTACCGAGACGGAAGATACGTTCCTCATGCCGCATATCAGGTCAAGTATAAAGTTTTGGGAGGAGTTGATCTTTCAATACACGGAGTGAAACACTCGTATGCATGAAGACGAACATAAGAAAATCATCATTAGCCCAGAGATTGCAAAAGTCTTAAAGGATGCCGTCCGTGCGAAGATGACATTGCATCAACAGCAAGCAGTGACATAACTTATTCTTTCTTTTGATTGAATCTGTGCCTAAACAGTTTGTCAGGACAGATATGCTGTTGCCTGTGGGACAAAACTCAGCGAAACCAACATAACGGCCCCTCAAGCCGAAGGTCCTCTGTTTCCAGAGGCATAGTCTTTTTTTTTTTTTTTTTTTTTTTTTCGGGTTCCCGATGGACCACGGATCAGATATTAAACTGACCAGAACAGATGCTACACTCGATCCAGAGGCACAGTCTGCTCCAGACACTGCCCCGGAAATGCTCAAGTACGACCGCAAACGGAACACTTTTGAACCACCACTACCTTTCTCCGCGTGGACAACAAAGGCGACCGGGCCAGTTCTCATATGCGGCCGCAGCTTCTAGGTGTCGGGGTACAGGACCGAAATGGCTGCACCGCCAGCCAAAACGACGACCAGCCAGTTCTTTTTTCTTTTGGCGCGCAGGCCCGCAGGGCATCTCCAGGCTCCGCTTTTTTTTTCTTTTTTTTTTTCCTTTGAGACGATGCTGCAAATCTATTTGTGGGAAGCAACATGGCTGGGAACCGGGCTCAGCGTCCCTTAGGAAAGTACAGAATCATGAAATACCGGGGACATCACCCGCTTTCGACTACGAACACTAGATGATGAAGAGTTCGTAAAAAAAAAAGCAGATCCTGATGTACCGAAGGTCCTCCGACCACGAAAAAAATAGATGGAAACTCATACAATCCCCTCTATGAACACACCGGCATGGCCGTTTGCAGCAAAAAGCCGGGTATCTACCAGGCCTCATGCCCCATCAGGCTAGGGTAGAGAGTTGCACCACCTTGCTCCAGCCTCCGGCCCGCATTGCGCCAGCTCTGACCCCGATGACCGTTGAGACTGCCCCCACAAACAGCCTCCCAGATCTCTTCCAGGCCTCAACTGGTGGGCTCAAGTTCGAAGGAAAGGAGCGGAATTCCAAAAAGATTAAACGGAGCTTTGGTTGAAAGGAGAGAGAGAAGCAGCATTCTTTTTTTTTTTCTTGTTGTTTCTTTGGTTCATCGTCCGGATTCAAACTCTAGTCTGCATTGCAACAATTCATGGGCGTACCAGCTGAACTTAGTCCGTCAGCGAGCCGTGGACTACTTCAGGTTGAACTTAGTCAGTTCACAGCACCGCAGGCGTCTGTCCGAATGAGGAGCCTGCATTTTGGGATGGAAGCCGAGATCTGCACTAGACTTCCTTCTTCCTGAAAACCGTCCAGGTTCATCGCCTGGGACCTTAGAGTTCGATGTCCAGTATGAAAAGTTGTTGCAGCAGGCTGTTGAGCACACATTAGGGGATGGAAGCCTCAAGCGGCTATCATCGCCTCTTAGAACAAACACAGACGACAGTCCACGTTTCAGGTAGGGGAACGGACCTGGGTGAAGGCTAGCGAGCTGGGTCAGGAATTTGGCATCTCTAGAAAACTAATGCCACAGTATTTCGGTCCTTGGGAAGTCCTGGATATAGCGGGTAGTGATTCGGATGGACCCTCGTATGTCATTAGAATCCCTGGAGATCTGTGCACTTACCCTGTGTTTCACGCTTCAAAGCTTGCACCTTTCGCTGAGACAGATATGTTCCCATCAAGAAGATCCATGCTGCCCCAACCATGCGTGGATGTCGACGACATGTTGCAGCACAGAGACGTGCCTGTTCCCAAACCCTACTGGCAGAGGAAGACCACCCAAAGCTATGAGGGAATACGGGTCAGGTTCAGGCACCATACGGATCCAAATGAAGATCGTTGGTTCACAAAGGAGGAGCTTGTTAAAACAGCACCTCAGATCATGGCAGACTGCCAACGAAGACTGAAGGGAAAGGCACCTGTGTAGAAGCATCTCTGCGGACTTTCGAAGCTAAGGGGGATGGAATGCGAGGACTTTAACGGACATGCAAGTGTTCTCGGCTGTGGGCCCCAGCAAGTCTTGTGCCCACCCTCAGTGAAGGCGGGCCTGAATACCCACGGAGGCCTATTTTCGACTCTTTCCATATGTGGGTACACAGACAGTTGCAGCACGGCAGTTGGTTGCAGGGAATCGTGAGCCTCCAGGCTCATTCCAGAAAACAAGGACTGCGCTGTACTGTTGAGCCCAGGTCCGCGTGGTTGCGCCCTGGGCACACGCAGCATGAGGCCAACACGTCACGCAGCGGCCACGGATGAATGAGAAAGCATCATTGTCGTCACACAATCTCCATGAGCCAATGGGAATGTGGCCAACCCTTGGAGCCTGGGAGGCTACCTATACGTGCCCAACCGAAAAGGGCGCAGGCCCTTAACTGTGGAGGTGGGCCTGGGCACAGAGAGTGGGGCTCGACTGGAAGCTACTGGAAACTTCCCCAGCCAGCCCCAGGCAGACACACACAGGGGCTGCACTTTTTCCATATAAAGGAAAGAGACCAGCCCAGGCAGGGACATTCTGGCCTAGGCAGGCAATGCGGACACGCTGCTGCGTTGCTGCACAAGCGTCTGCATGGGCGCTGCTGGTCAGACACACACACGGGCGCGCTGAGGTGAGGGGCACTGCAAGGGCAGCGGGCGCACAGCAACCATAGCCAGGCTGCAAGGGCACAAGGCAGGTGATGGCAAAGGCAATCGTCGATGAGGAGGTGCATGACGTGGGGAGACGAGGGGTGATGACGAGACGAGAGAGAACGGATCTGGTGTACGCTGGTGATCGGAATTGGTGTTGACGTCACGTACATTTGTCTTCGACTTCAGAGTGATCCATCGAGAACGTAGATAGGTTAGATAGGCTGAGTAGGATAGGCTGGGCACTGGGCGCCAGACTGTAAGTACGACATTGGATACAGTGTTGGTGTGACCAGAGAGTGGCGACGTTGACATTCGAGTTCATTGTATTGCTCTTATTTGGACGGTATCTCGGTGCATTGTACTCTCTGCTTGGTTCATGACTATCTGAGCTACTTCGTGATTTTGCATCTTGGATTTCTGTCTATCGCCCTCGCTCATATTCCTTGCATACATATGTATACATGTACATTTCAAACCATAAGGGGATGGAGGGCAGAAGGCAACTTACCTAAGACAGATGGAGTAGAAGGGGATGGAGGGCAGAAGGCAACTTACCTAAGACAGAAGACTACTCCAGCAAGAAGGCACCGACCCGACGCCCTCAAAGGTCCAAAAAAACTTGGAGAGCCTTCCGCATCGCCCCACAAAACCCAAAACTCATGTATAAAAAACAAACAAATATAACAGCATTGGCATTCCCAACATTCATCTCAAACTACACACTCGCATCACTGCCAAAGAGGAGGAAGAACATAAGAACACACCGACCCCCCCTGCTAAGGGTCCCAAAAAAACTGGGAAAGCCCTCCATGCCGGCCCACAAAACATACATTCCATTCTCCCCAAGGAGAACGCATGGCCACCCCGAAACATCTAAACAGGCCATGCTCTAAAGCAGGGCAAAGAATTAGGGCCTGTGTCCGCGTGTGTTGTCATATCCGCTATACACTCAAAAAAAGCATGACTGCGCCAGACTGTTTCGTCGGACTTTCACCGACTCATCAGGAGGTTGAACCCCGACAGTCTGCCCAGGATTCATTTGACTGATGGATAAGGATTCACCACATCACCCAGAGTTAGCGATACCCCCCTGAGAGAGAAAAGTGTTCCGACTTTACTCACACCATCCTCGCAGTCCTAGCAGACCGCCGGTCCAAACCCTTGACAAGAACGGTAGCAAGTCTGAGAAACTGAACTGACACACCGAATCAGGAGGTTGAACCCAGTCAGTCAGCCCCGTCACACACACACACACACACACACACACACACACACACACACACACACACACACACACACACACACACACACACACACACACACACAGAGGCACACGCACACACACACACACACACACACACACGTGCGTACAAACCCACACACACGCATGCAAACAGCAAGCAAGAAACGGCAAGAGGGATTCAATTCCAACCAACCACACGTTTTTATCACAGGAATTTGTTGCTGGATGATTCAACAACAACAACAGAGCCTCTTCCTCACGAGAAACCGCAATATCCAGCGTATAGACAGTAGCCTAGGAGAAATGGCAGTTGGGCATGCTGTAAATTGCGCAGGCCAATTGAACGGGCACAGTCATCTTCTGTGTGCAATCGCGAACAATACAGATGCCACTTACACAACTGCACAGAGTGTTAGCCATTCCCACAAACCCACCGGCACACACAAGTGGAGAAACACACACACTCTGCCCTTTTCCTCCCACAACGGTCGGACAATCGCCTGAGCCCTTCCGTGTTCCGACATACAGCTTGCAAGTTCACTTTCATTTATCAGTGTCCATACCTGACCACTCGCGACAGCCAAAGGTTACACTTCGCTGCCAAACACAGCAACACAAGCATCAGCACAAACATGGCTTTCAAGCCTTCTGTATTCATTCATCACCTACCTAATTACCATGCCAGTAGCACCAAAGAGAGAGTAATAGAGTAATAACACTGCCATGACAACACAGAAACGTGCAACAAAGAAACGTGCAACAACGGGATGCAGAAGCCAAGTATTGGATGGAAACATGGAAAGAAGATAGTCTCACCAAACGAAAGCATATGCTGTGTGACATCAACGGGTCGTCGAAGCTAATAACCTGACCGGCAGCCGCCTCTATTCTTCCACCCCCCATTCCCTGTCATGCAGACACCTCCTCCTCCTCCTCCTCCTCCTCCTCCTTGATGAGTCGCAATTGCAGAATCCCGAGACAGAAAAAGAAAAAAGTAGAGTTGTTCCATTTTCACTCCGCAGAGAAGACACCTTTCTTAAGGTATCTCAAGTTTTGATGTCTCCTATGATTTCTTTCAGTTTGCAGTGCACATCATGTCTCACCTTGCCCCACCATCTTCTCTACCTGCCTTCGCACACTCGCATAGTGCCACCATACCCTCCTCCATTATGTCCTCGGGATACTTGTGCCCAACATCCATCCAGGAACACATGCGAGGTTCACTCACCCTGAACATCTGCAATAAGAGAATACAAGCCATTGCCACAATCTGGCAATGGGTAAAAGGCTTGTGTGCAGACAAGCCTTTCTTGTCCAATGATCAAAGAAGAATACTAGGCAATCCATGGAGTTATTTAAAAAGATCAAAAAAAAAAAAGAAGAAGATTTCACCACCCTCCAAAATCTATTCTCTTCCCTCGTAATCTTTAACAACGTAATCCAAGCACAGGCTCCATCATCTCTCTCTCTCTCTCTCTCTCTCTCTCTCTCTCTCTCTCTTTCTCTCTCTCTCTCTCACACACACACACACACACACACACACACACACACGTCGCTGCTCTTTTTGCACCAGCACTCACACACTTCTCTGCAGCACCGTCCTCTTCCTGCCTCATTTCTAACACCCCACCTCTTCCCATATCTCTATCTCGTGAGCAAACATGCTTTCTAGCTGCCATTCTCCTTCTCGACGCCCTTTCTGACTCTCTATATCCTCCTTTCACCTCTCTCTCTCTCTCTCTCCCTCTCTCTGTGTGTCTCTGTGCATTTCTGTGTCTCCCCGCAGGTCAGACATCTCTGTGAGCAACTCATCATACGCAACCCATGCGAGTAGATGTGAGTCGTTCACACCATGAATGGCATGCACAGAGTCTCCTGTTAGGTGAAGAGTGCCTTCTACCTACATCCTTCTTTTCACACCCGACACCATTACTGTCGCGACACACTTCTTCAGACACTTGCCCATGTTCCCTTTCATAATCGACACCATTACTCGTCGCTCTATCTTCCACTTGATTGTCTGCCCAACCACTCTGCTGGGAACTCCTTTCCATTTCGAATGATCCCACTGTCACGTCACAGAAAAAGGCGGACGCTCTGCAGCTCAGAGTCACAGAGAAACTCGACATAGAGGCTTGGACATTCGCTCACCTGATCAACATCAATCCACCACCACCAGTGTGCAATCAACAAAAAAACATCCACAAGAATGAAAACAAACCCAGAGTGCAAAAGGTGAGACGACACGATGACTTGCCTTCCCGAACACAGTCATTCAGACACTGCATCACATTTATGTTCCTTGTTCTTTCGCCAGTGCGACGTTCCGTAGTTACCGGCGGGTTAAAAAAACCACCAGTGCTTCCTAAAGTCATGGCCGTTAACAAGCCACGATTTTAGGAAACCTACGGGACACTACAGGAGCGGCCAAATTCATCAGAGTAGAAACGTTTCTACTCTATTTTTTTTCCCGCTGCCGATAGCTGGGCCAAGTAGTACTGGTGGTTTAAGCCTGTCCATCCACAAGCAGGCGGCGGTAACAAGCCACGATTTTAGGAAACTTACGGGGCACTACAGGAGCGGCCAGAAATTGTTTTTTCTTTTTTTTTTAAAGGGGGCAAAGGAGTAAGAAAAAAAAACGGTGTTAGAGTACTCTGGAAACAGATGGGAAGCATCCTCAAGTAGGGGTAAGAGGGAGTAAGAAGAGTAGAAAGAAGAGGAGACAGAAGGGCATTCAAAGCTGACTTTACAAACACTCCTGTACTCTTGAGCACTCCTTGGTGGACCAGCCAAAACTACAAGTAGCCAGCGCAACAGTGACCTCCAATTACAGGTCTGTTACAACTGACCCCATTTATGTGCAATCAGACTCGCTTTCAAACACACTTTTCACACATGTAAACAGTACGCAGCACACTGGCGACATGCG